AAGGCAAGGATCAGTTGAATATTGAACATCACACATCGACAAAATTACAGTGTATTGACAAAAATGTTTCAATACACAAAATCACAACGAAATATAATGAGTTGCCATTCAGATTTGTTTTCTTTTCAACTGGAGTACACACAAAGTTTGTATTCACATTTTTCAGTTTTCAACAGAATTAATGTAGCAAAGAAATTTTTGTGCTTCGATTTAACATGTATCACAAACAAACAAATCACTCTATTCAATATTTAACGGGATTGATTTTTTTATTGCGGCCAAAACTATACTGAGAAGTGCCGCCAGTTTAGAAAGAGATGATTTTTGGTATACAACAACAACAATCTCATACGATTGCATTCTCCGTCGCCTAAAATTCAGTTGGACAAATTCAAAAAGTCAAATATCGCTACGAATACAGAGTTTGTGTGTGTGTGAGGGAAAGTGATATAAACAAATTCATTCGGTGTTTCGGTTTGAAACAAGCAATATTGAACCGGTCGCGCATATAAACAATTGAAAGTTTGTACACATTTAAATGCACAACAGAGAGAGTCACACATTCACAAGGATAATTATGTGGCCATTTTAGTGTCAAACGGAATGTAGAGTATATCCATGATATTCATACGCACGAGTTTCTTTGTTCTTATTAGCGGTCAGAAAATGTGCGTTGTTGTTGTTTTTTTCAAACAAATTAAATTCAAAATGACAACCGATTTCAGTTTTCAACATGATAAAATAAGACAAATGGATTTTAGTGCTATTATTGTATCAGTGGCTTTTTTATGTCACAGCACAAAGAAACGAAACATGTGAGAGAGACAATATAATATGTGTTTGTGTTTTTGTTTTTCTGTAAACGAAATACTAGCGCGAATGCAACAAACTGTTTAATTTTGACCGTACAACAGTATTCCCGATCACCGCTTGTTTTTGTGATGTGCTTTGTCAGTGTTTTGATACAACGATATCGTGTGTTCACGAAATGTGATGGATATATTTGCGGAAATATTTTGTGTCTGTTTCTGTTTTCAATTCAAACGACAGAACATTTATAAAGTATTACTGTTAATATTCCAAATCATCGAAACACATTTGAAAAAAAAACCATTTCGACAATTCTCTCGTTTGTGATTTGTTATGTTCCTGTTTAAAAATGCATTTTCGGCAGAGTTTTGTGGCAAATCAAAGTGGAGTGATTGAGTTGTTGAATGAAAATATTGTAAATTTGTTTGCATATATTGATGTATCAATAGAATCGTTTAATTGCAGTCATTTTAGTTTTCGAGGCTTGACTTTTTGCAATACAGCAATAATTTGCTATAAATAGCGGTGCATTTCTGCATTCATTTTAGTTCAAAGTTACCGTTCGCGCTGTGAAGCTATTTGAAATACCATTAAATCTCATCATCAAGTCAGAAAAATAACTTTAAATTGATAATAATAATTGAATTTCGTCAGGTAGTTTACAAGCAGAACCAACAAAAACACATTAAAAATTACAATTTGAATTGTGAAATTGATGCGAATTGATTGCAACCGAAAATAGTGATAACTATCCCATAGTATTTGGAAAAGCACCAGAAATTGTGATTGATTGATTAAACCATGAGTAGAACAAGATCAAGAGAGGATCAATTTAATATGTAAGCATTGTTTTTCTTAATATTTATTCTGTGTTTTTTTTTCATTGGATTTTCGATGCAATTTCGCAATATTGTTTTGTGACCAGTTTTTTTTTAAATAAGTGTGTATGTTTTTCTTTGTTTTCGTTTCATTTATACAGTCCACCCGAAAGGAAAGACGACATTAAGAACCTTGTAGTCATAAAACAAGGCGTCAAGTCAATCATACGGGAAGAATATCGCGACAGAGTGATTCAGTTTTTGGATCATCGAAGCTACAAAATGACACTGATTTCGTCACTGGCATCATTGTTGGCGTTGTACAAAATTCAAGAAGCCATCGATGATGGGAACCAACAATTTTTTGTACAAAACGGTAAAACATTTTTCATTGAGTGCTTTAACGGTGTTTTAGCCGATAAAGTCGACAGAGAGGAACTAATGCCGCCAGCTTTTCGTAACATTGTCGAGGCACACTTCGGTGTAGAGAATTTTGAATGGCCCGATAAAGAATGCCTGGGAAATGGTTTTAATTATTTCTACCAAGATCACATTCGAAATAATCAGACCAATCTCAACACTCATTGTTCAGAACATGTTGAATCGTTTTTTCAAATGAAACGCTGGTATTATAACATGAATATCAATGGCCATCAATACAATGGATCAAAATTTGACGGCATCGATATACGAAACGCAAAAGTTTACGCCACTAGTAACAAAGATCTGACACATGGTGATGTAGAGAGAACAAATAAGATGAACATTTTATTGTATGAACTGGAAAGAATCGGTTGGCAGTGTCAAAAAGTTCATAATGAACAATTGGTTCCGGTCACTGTCAATGAGTTCGTTAAGGACAATTGGTTCCAATCACTGTGGATGTTCGGTCAAATGCAACGCCAAATCGAAGTGTTTCATCAATATTCACAACAATGGCATGCATTCCGTCGCGATGGATTGATAACGAACAATCGACCGCCAAAAGTGAACAATTTCGCACTTGTCCCGTTATGCCGATTCCAACTGAAAAACGTTCGATTGGATATGACAGATATGTATTATTTGGCGAACACTGTACTAGGAGTGGTGCCAAGTTCTCGCAATCCGCTGACCAATCGAATGAACAAATACACACTGGACTATTACTTGTACGGCCATCGAGATGAATTGTGGAATTTGGTTTTCGACATGGATAAAATCAAACAAATCGGCAAGCAGAAGCGGTTTCACTCGCAAATCATCACCAATAGTGTTTGCGTGTCAATATTGTACGAGAAGCCAGCGAAGGCTTGGGTGGAAAATTCGGAGCATGCCACATTTAACAACATGACATATGCTAGTGCCATCGATCCGAACGAGAAAACGTGGGTTGCCGTTGTGCGCCGCCATATCAAGTCAAACATTGAGATAAGTTAAGTTTGTTATTACAATGTTTTTTTTTTTGGAACGTGATTGAAATTTGACGTTATTATTTAACAGGAAAACATTAAAATATCCAATCCACGATTTCATTGGCAAACCGAGCAGAAGAAGAGAGATCGGAAGGCTGATCGGTTGACCTGGTGGTTTGTTGAAGAAGAACAAATGGATTTCAAGTCGTACCCAGTGATACCATCGCCGCGTGGATCCACATGGAAAGCGTACATTCTGCATCGCATCAAAATGCTACGAATGGGACTGCAAGCATATGCGACTCGAAAATATGCACGATTGGATCTCGATCACCACATCAAGGCTACCAAAACAAGTGATAAAGTTGCCATGCGGGTAACGAACAACAAACCGTCTTGGATTTGGATTGGTGCTGGAGAAATGGCACCAAATCGGCCATGGGGCATAAAGAAGCGGAAAAGATGCCCAGGAACGCGTAAATTGGCGACCAGCTTCAAGAAACAAGAGCACACAAAGGTCAGTTTTCAAGATGAATGGGGTACATCAATAACGTGTGCCAATTGTCACGAGCGATTTCCAAGAGAAACCAAAAATCATCGATTCAAAATTTGTCGAAATTGCATACCAAAACCGATTGTTGGACTACCACCGATAATTGTGACGAATTTAAGCAGACAAGAGCTTAAGAAAGAGCGAATTGTAGAGAGAGCAATCAATCCAGATCGTGAGAACATCGAGCGTTTAGTGCCAAAGATAAAAGTTATCTTCAAAACTTGGTCATTAACTCGAGAATACCATGAATTGGGTGATGCTGCACCAGAAGACATGATTGAGCACGTAGTCATTTGGCACCGTGACATTGTTGCCGCAAAGAATATTTTATTCAAAGGTATGTGCATAATTGTATATTGTATTAATATTAAATTGAGAATAGAGAGCAGAGCGTTAGGTGTTCAGTGTTCATATTAATTGATTAATGTTTTGTGTTTATTTCTGATTTTATAGGAATGTGTCGTCTTTTTGGCATACCATTGCCCGATTCGTTGAAGAGACCTGACAATCCACACCATGCGAACAATGTCAACTGATAGCAGCATAAAATCAACAATAATCATAAGAAGAATATTTTAACAATTTTGTTAGTTACTAGGCGTGAATAGTTTAAATCCAAGGATTTCTATTGTACCCTTGACCGCAGTACGGGTCCCTATTTAGGGCTGTGCGGAATATAAAAGAACCCGTAGGTGAGTACTTTATTGAATTGATAGTTTATTTTTGCATTCAATCTAACTGAATTGTTTTTTTTTCTTTTTTTCCTTTCCATTTTGACGGTAAAATTGACTGAAACTACACACAAATCCAACCCCAATATTGACCGTCAACATATGCCCGATAATGGATGAATTTGCCACAACAAATGTTTGTTGGGATAGCAACACAATGGCAAACAAGAATATTGAAAAGAATCTCGAAGAAGTCGATTTTATGCTATAAAAACCAGCAACGTTGGTCGCATGATTGTATCAAATGAATGCCAATAAAGTTGTGAAATAATGTTGTCTATTTTGGCATGTGAATACCTTTTGGTTACAAATTCGTGGAAATAATTGCCATTTCATATATGCAAAGGAATATTTCACCCCTAAAATGCATCATGTATGAAGTGTGCGTTTGATGCATACAAAGAAATGCAATAAGAATGTTTTACCACATGTGAAATCGACAAATTATTGTTCACATGCTCATACAATGTTGGTTAGATGCAAGTTTTGTTTTAATAGCAACAAGATGGTGGTTTTTACCATTCCAAAACTGGTGTATTCCATGCAAACATTAATTATCATTTTGGGTTTTTGGCTTTCAAGTTTTGTCATCAAAACATCATAACATGGTCTTTTTGCAGTGAAATTCTTACGTCAAAAATGCCATTATCCAAATGACAAGTTCTTTGATACCAAGATTTAATTGAAGAGCCAAAGTGAATTGGCTTTTTGAAACTTTTAAACCATACACACACACACATGAGTTTTGTATCTCTCTGATATGTGAGCAATCACAAAAGGTTTGGATTTTGTTTGAGCTACATATAAACAAACTTAACGAGAAGAACAAACAAAAAATGTGCGACTGTATCCACAAACCATTGATGATTGCCATTGAAAACCTGATGGTATAGTGTACATGTACAATACACAAAATAGTCGACACCATGCATGGTTGTCATCGTTCATCGGGTGTTAATCGAATGCAATGACTAAGCAAATATTTCTGTACACAGACGTGCTCTAAATATGTGACGGAGAGAAAAAGAGGGAAAGAGGAGAGAGAGAGTGATAGAAGAAGAGAAAAAAAGCGGTAGAAAACCTGTATCCTTGACCGTAAGTTTTCTGTGTTGCGTCATTCCATCCCAAACATTCGTCGAAGCTTTGTGGCGACAAAGTCCGTCGATAAATCCTTTTTTAATTAAATCCACTCTGTATGGAATTCTTTTTAAATAAATTATACAATGCGAAAAACAGCATTGTGCATTAAATAAGCTTTTATACATGGACAAATATGTAACATTTAAATACTACAAAGAACACGAAATGTAGCAGGAAGGTTGTGCCTTTGTGCTATTTTCATACACCAAAACAATGTAACGCAATTGTACATGTCGGTCTTTTTTTCAAAAGCATCAATCAGGGTAGTTTTTCATCAGAATGATGATGACAATTTGCGCAGCATACAATGCTTGATTTGTTTGTAACACACGATGCTGTTATGCTAATCCCGTAAACGCATATTTGTCATGTTATTCAACGAACCATCATTGCTCCACTTTTTTTCCCATGTGTCACTTCTGCACTCCAGCATAAGTTATGGAATTTTTCATGCAAAAAGTATTGGTTTTGTTCCGTTAAAACCTTCAGTGATGACTTTTTTTTACTGTTTGTATGTTTCTTCCAAAATGTCGTAGGTGGCATGTATGGTCCGGATATCGTTTTGCAATGGTAGGTATCATGGATTAGCCCTCGAATGTTTTTTGCTACATTTTCTCGCTCCGTGGGGGGTTTTCAACCAAAACTTAACAAGATCAACAGCCAGAAAAAAAACGCGAAACAAAATAAACACTGGCTCGAGCATACAGCACAAAAAAGTAGCATGGTAATTTGGTTGGATGTGAATGTAAAACACGTTGAAAGACACTTTCCACATTTTAATTTTTCGGTTTTTGTGTCGAGATCTGGCAACTGGCCTCTCCGCTTTTACAAACCACATTTTAAAATTAGCTACTATTTCCAGCGGTTTTGATTCGTTCACCAAAAAAGGACATTATATTATTATTTAAATGAGTTAAAACGAATGCGGTTTCATTGGCTTTGGCTGCTGCGGGTATAATGTTTCAGGTAGAAAATCATGTTAAAGGTTGCTTGCCAAAAATAACCGAAGAGAATGTTAAACGGAGCGAACACATCTGAATGAGAGAGAAAAAACTATCTGATTGTTCATTTTGGAATTTCGACTATAATTTATAAGCTGAAACGTTGATTGAAATCTGCTGGGATAAGCATGCTTAAATTGAACATTTTAAACAAGAATAAATGCATATGAATTTCAACATTTGCTCATTTTCGATTTTAGATAAACTAAATTAGATGTGCATGTTTTTTTCTATACTAAATCATTGTCGGACAGAAGCATTGGAAAAGTCCGAGATAAGATCCATTTCATTGTGTCGTAAGAGACCCATCGGACATTTGATTTCATATCGGGCTCGATGCAGCCCACACATATTTTGTATTTTCACACACCTTCATGCAAATGAAGATTGAATCTGAGCAACAAATTATGCAGGAACGAAAAAGGAGAAATTTGCTCAAGCATTAAAAGTGCAATTACAAAAAAAAAGAAATGTAAATTTTACAAAAGCAAGGGCAGAACGATGAAAATATGCTGGAAACTGTGGGCTTGACGACACACAAAATCTTATTTCATTTTCAAAAAAAATTGTACTGTTTTCTCATCTTATTCTGTTCCTCTGTTTTCGTATATATAAACTTTGCACTGGCATGAGTGTTTTCTGTAAGATTTTCAACTTGGATTTACTTTTATGCCAACGAAAAAAAAATATACGATCTCATTCTCAGCCATTGTGTGCGCAACCATAACTTTAAATCATGGTGTTTGTTTTTTCTCTCTCTCAAAATAACGAAAAGAAAAATCTGCGATGAGTTTCCACTTCGGCCGCGCTTTCTGCTTTCTTGCAGACCATATATGCTGCACACTTACACACACACAAGTGGAAAGAGACGATGCAAAATCAACAACAACCATTCGCTTTAATATGTTTACAAAGCGCAGTTGTAATGGCGTTGAAACGGTTCTAATTTTACAGGACTTATGGTTATTATCGACTTCATGCCGTAGCGATTTTCTTTGGCTCTGCCATTATTTTAAGCACTAAGTTTTTTTAAGCACGCTTTTATGATTAAAAATACACATGCAAGAATTTTGAATGAAGTGAGAGTTTTTTTACATTTTTGCGAAATAAAAAGAGACTCTCGTTTGAGAAGAGAAAAACGCACTGTTCCGACCTTTACTCAATTTTACATCTCAACGATTTTTGGTTAGACTACACAAAGAACTTGCAAATTGTTTGCATTTGAGTACGTCGTTTGTGTCATTAAATGTGAAAGAAATGAAAATTCTTTTAACGAAAAAAAAACTCCATTATTCACTCGCATGAGCAACCTTGATTTCTTTTGTTAACTTCCGTTTTCAGCGCTGACGGGCAGAATGCTAAACCTTGTTCCAATTCAGAAGAAAACGGTTGTTGTGTGCTTTTCTTTTCTTCAAGCACATTCTAATTACTTTCGAATGTGAAAAAAGGCGGAAATTAGTTTTGACAGAATTTTGTTGACACTTACCCCGCTTAGCGTTCCTAATTGATTCTGATTTGCCCAATTAAGCAACAAATAACAAATTTAATAACGTACTATCGGGTTGGGCCCCGTTTTATCACTTACACTACGGGGAGTTAA